TCCAGAAGGAGCGGATCGACAACCATTCCGGGCTGACTGATTCTTCCAGGCATCTGTCGTTTTTTTCGGTATTGTTGTGGTTGATAGACATTTTGCTGGCTATAGATGGAGCTCTGAAAAAAGCTGGTATATCTAATCAGATGGCAAAACGTTCGTTTATTCTCTATGGGGATGCGCCACACATTCGACTTCCACCGGATATCGTGATCACCTTAGAACGCCTCTTTGTTCAGTTAACAAAGCCCCTCTCCCATCTGATGAAGAAATCGATCGCATGACCTATCCAGTGGAGATGATTAAAAAACTAATTTTTAGTTCTTTAAAAAACACTAACCTGCCCGAATTGCTGACCAAGGAGTGGGTTGGTGTTCAACGTCTGACCGTACTGCTGTTGCTGCTGTTGACCGTAGTACTGCTGTTGTTGGTTAACTGTGTTTTGACCAGTGCCAAAGTAATTTGGGTTATTACTGTTGTAGACTTCATCATCGTCAAGCTGAAAATATGATGTATTTTACGAAGAAGAGTTATCGATTTATCTGCCGATCAATACACTTCTTGTTCCTCCTTTCAGTGACCTAATTCATGTTGTTTTGCAACATTTCATACTATCATATGACCTTCGTTGTTTAGTCAACGCCTAATTACGGCTGCCAGCAGTGATAACAATCACCGACAGAGTGATAAAACCTTGGCGCACAGTTGAAAGCTGGGCGCAGTTTGGCTTGGTGGGGCATCAAATGGACCAACTAGTTCAGGCCATCTTGTGAAGATCTGCAAATTCCTGTAACCACAACGGCTCACTCATACCATTTCGCAGGTTTACAGGAGTTTACAGGTCTCACCATAGTATAACCTATTACTTAACATGAACTAACAAATTAGCTAGCAGATGTGCAAAATGCCCCTCCTATGACGAAGTGCCGAAAGCTGTGTAATGCTTATGAAGTGCGCTAAAGCGCCATTGGTTCGAATCCGTTTCCCGACCACAAGAGCTTTCTTTGCAAGATTCGAAGTATGTTGTCATTGTTGTATGCGCTGTACAGGCAAATAAAGCCATGTAGTTGAAGCGGGGCCACATAACAGCGCTACGATGCCACACCATGTGTTCGAGATTACGCCCTCTGACCGAGTGGTGTATACAGGGGCAGTTTGACGACGGGGGGGGGGGGGCATTTCGAGGCACTTTCGCTACTTCCATCGACGTGTCGACGTGCTACCTAGGCGCCTCTTCGTCGAGACGACGGTTACATGATGGTTGATGAGCTTGCTCGAGCTCACACAGAGTTCACGAGGTTTTGCCCGCAATGAGATTGTACCGGCAACTATGGAAGCAATGATAGTATAAATGCCCCCCCCCGTCGCAACTGCGGCCGTGTATAACTAACTCGAAAAAAATGGGCAAGACAATAAAATACAAGAGAGACGAGGTGGTATAGCCGCGCTACAGCGCGTCTCCCGAATAGCTTTGCCTCCTCTCTTATTCCTAGTGGATTGGTCTCACAAACTTCTAAAAAACTAGAGAGTATGTCAAGAGTATTCAGTCAAGAGAACGATCCTTGAGGAGAGTAAGAACCATGGCGTATACCAGGCATTAACCAGTAGCGTCAAAAAGAAACTTCGTGTTTTTCCTTGATGACGGTATCAAAAAATGATTGAAGTGGCTAAAAACATTGTGACAACCAGAGACCGCTCGAAATTATTGATCGATACTCTTTTTTGAGGCACTCACCCTAGGACGATGCACACTTCGGAAGAAAGTGTTGCTGACTTTCGTGTTTCCGATCCATTGATACATTGCGTCGGCGTAAAACGGGGCGATGAACGAGTGATCCTTAATGAAGGCAGTTAGTGACGTCACAAAAATAATCAGGTACAGTAATTTCCTATATATCAATGAATAATTAAAAAAAATTCACGGATCCCCTCAACCTACTCGCTGCTTCGGCCACGACGGATTTGGGAATGTCCATGGCGGAGTGGCAAACGACGGCATTGCAAAGGATACCATACCCATCGGATAAACAAATGTGTAGTTGAACCTGAATTTCGTACGATACGCATCTATAGATTACGGTAGTAACTGGTCAACCAACCTGAAGCCGAAGAACGGGCAGTCAAAACCGAGATTCGTCTGTGTTTCTCGTCCAGCTTGACCCAATAGTTGTTCATCCATTGCCCACGAACCAAATGGATACAGTATATTTTGCCATCCTGAGCTTAACAACTTTGAGCGTTTTTGAATTTGATAGTTTGGAGACCATATATGAGGGAAACAAGGGGCGTGGCTGCGAGAGTACGGACGCATAGAGTCAGAAACCGATGCACAAGGAAGGGGACTTTACAAGAGAATGCGCAACTGCCACAGGCGCGCCCCTGTTGAATTATGAAGTGCACTTTGAAACTACGGTAGTTCTACTGTGCATGACAAAATGTATGGCGTTGAAACTCCACGTATCCGTCACACTCTCACCCAGAAATGTAACTTGGCATTACAATGTGGTTTTTCCCCACATAGGTTGTGGAGCGTTAGTTCTTAATCGCAGTGTTGCGTGCAGTAGAAGAGTGTTTCTTTGCTAGTTGATTAGAATACAGAGCTAGTTGACCTGAGAGACGCAGACGCAGAGCAAGTCGATGCGCCACAGCGCCGCCACGTGGAATGGATTGGGTCCTGGTGCGAACACTGCGCGCATTGCCCCGCTTGCAACGCTTTATTTCGCCGCGCTCGCTCGGGTGCGAAGTAGCGTTCAATATCCGGCACATATCTAACACCTTACGGGGCAACCCTATGATCCAGAGATAATTTTCAGGCTCTAGAACAAATATGGTACCAGCTGGTGCCAATAAAGGAACGGGAAGCTCGTGGTGAGTAGCGCCACAGTTGCCACAATTCTATCGTCTCGCCTCAAGGGATAACCTTGTAATATTCTAAACAATGGTATCGATCTCGTTAATGGTTCATGGCATTTAGTTATACTCGAAATCCCTGAGATCGGGTAGGCGTGGCCGCATGTTTCAACTTAACCTGAAGGTGTCTATGCTTCTGATGAGGTATTTTCATCTTGACACCATTGTTGTCGTGTCTCTGTCCAGCAGAGAACAAGATGACAGTTGTGTCCAGACTGGGGTACTCCACTAGTACCAGTTCCGTGCCATGTTCCAAAATGCCCGCCTATCTCTTTGGCTGCAAGGGATAAGGGAGTGTAGTAGATATTGCGTAATAAACTTCTCTATCGCGAACAGTCGTAATCGGCCTCGACCGAGATTATTCCAAAATAGTAGTCCTAGATAGGACTGCCGTTTCTTTCTCGAAGAGTAATCGGATTAGTGAACCAGTAGAAAGAGAGGTAAAGCTAGTTCATTACCGTACCGGATGTGCTCAGGAATTTTGCGATCGGGTACTACCGAATTCCGAGAGATTTCCTTGAAAATCTTCTGGACATCTTCCTTTGTCGGCAAGCGGCTTTCTTTTGACACTCCATTACTGCTTTTCTGAACTTATACAATTTTACCTGAGTTAAATATACAAGTGAAATAGTTTAGAACTGTGAATTTCTGGGATACTGTATTATTAAAGACAGCGCGCCCGCGATGGACTTTGGCAGGTCTCAGGGGTCAAATTTGTTAGAACAGGTGGCCAATGAAGCACTAATCAAAAAAGTAGGAAAAAGGTGTGGAAGAGCGTGAAATAAGACCCTACGAAATTTAAGGCATGTGGACGAGTTTCGCAGACCTTTGGTGAGTTCTCCAATACACGTCGCCGGCTCGGAACTCCAGAAACTTAGCGTTTATCAATGCCAGCAAGCACTGATAACTGTTAACCAGTCGGGGCGGGATTAACAGGGAAGGAGGCGTCAGCTCAGCCTTGTTGACTCCGCCCTCGTCAATCAATACATTTCGAGCCGCAAGAGTGGGATATCCGCTATGGTTGCGTACTCCGCGTTCGTTTTCATTGGAGGGTTTTTTCACTTTGGTTGATCGCGGACGCTGCCTTTAAAAAAAAGCGGCCTAGTTGTGGCGTTCAATCGTTAATAAATAGATAAATAGACGACTGAATGCATAAGAAAATTAACAGATAGTTGAGTAAATAAATAAAACAAAAATAACCAAAATAATACGTGGGGTGAACAAAATTATCCCAATGAACAGACTTTTTCAAGAAATAATGCGTTTCCAGTCTAAAAAGATAGGGCACCAGAAAAACTGATAGTAACTTGGCAAATAAAATGTAACATAGAAAAACGACACAGTTTGGCTTAGGAGGGGATGGCTCATGATCGTGTCGTAATCAGTCGGGGTGGTGTCAAAAAGGATGGAATGAGCCATCACTCCTGACACCCCCCAGCCTTTTCGTCACTGGTGGTATTTTTCCTAAATCGAAGGTCACTATTGGTAGAAAAAGGCAGCCGGAGGCAGACTTGTTCCCCCCTCTCCGCCCCTCCCACGCACCTTCCCGCTCCGCTCCATGTGCAAGCGGTAACTGCGTTCAGTTTCAATCCATTTTTCGGCTCCTTTATCAAGTGGGACGGTAGGCAAGCTAAGGATGAATGTTCTTGCCTAAGCCCAAGGGAAGTAGGTGTGGGATGGGTGAGTGAAGTTGGGTAAAGAGGGTTTCAAAATGAAACCCGTAATTTCTCATTTTTACTCATAGTTTTACCGGAAGTTCATACGAATCGGTAAAATGTTCCTCAGTCCTCCAAGCCAATCTGTTTCTGGTTTGATTGTGATTAAGAAACAAGGGCTTCTTTAGCCCCGAAGAACGAAGTTCCTGTCTTTGCTGACAGATTATTACCTGGCTTCCTTTTTTGATTGCATTTATTAAATCGATTATTGATTGAGATGGACTGGTGTCGGGAGGATGAATCAGGCAGAAGGCTACCACAAGAACTGAGGCGATGGCTAAAAGCCGACGCCACATAATTCCTGCTTAGCACCTGAAATCATTACAAATCGATTCTAAAAAATCACTAACAATAATAAAACAAGGGTCGCGAAGTTGGGTGAGGGTGGAGCACGTTTCACAGGGTAGTCGTGGCTCTTTTCACGCAGTCTGCTTACCATCCAGAGCAAGACCTGCCATTAGGAATTTCTTTTTGCAAAAATCGACCTCCCTCAAAATTTCCACTCTGGCTTGACCCCTTCCCTACCTACAGGCTCCCTACCAGTTTCTATACCCCATCCCTCCTCCCCCCATACACACAAAAAAAACAGCAACCGAGCGGTAAGAAGCGGATAGAGGTAGGGGAGGGTCATACAGCGCACATGCGCATGTGAAACGGGGAAAAACAGAGAAAAGTCAGAGCAGAGCAACCAGAAACATTTTTCTCAGAGACTAATAGGACCTCGTCCCAGCGACCAAAAGGACCCCCTCGCTGGAGATCCCCAGCGTACGACGTGCCCTGTTTACAAATGTCGGTATACTCTCGTCTTCCCATTTAAGCCTATCCAGTTTGAGTGGGGTTTGGCTTTCAGCCAAGAGAGGGTTCCGAAAATATGGTGGGATCTATTAGACTAGTGAATGTATATGAAACAACTATTTCCAAAATTTGCAACCGCCGTCTGGGGTTAATTACGCTCAGTAACCCATACGTGACTTAAACTAGGTAAACCATCGGTAGTGAATACCCATGTTGTCGAACTGGGACTATGGCTCCATTATTGGCTCCCAAATGGATGGCATGGTAACCTGCACGATTGGTGAACGTGAATCTTTTTTGGGATGGCTGGAGGAGCAGGAAATGACAACTCGGCCTGTCTAAACCTTGGAGCCCGGAGACAATGTTCACTGCTTTAGAGGGGAGAAGAATATTCAGCAAAAAAAATTAGACCAAAAAACGACCTAGAAGAGAAATTCAGCCCGTTTTGGACCGATTGTGAACGTTTTTACTGGACAGTAAGTTATTCTATGCAGATGGGAGGACTTGTCAACTATTCACCAGCAAAATGAGAAATCGTGAAATGAAAACGAATGAAACGAGGAAAGGGAAATATAATTGATTGGAAAGTGCTATTAATTCATAGTATTCATTGGAGCCAAGGTGCTGGAATGGGTGATAAGCCTAGGTGGGCACTTATCAGAACTCGAATACGAGCGTGAAGCTGGCTGATGATAAGAGGCTGCCAGTCTAGGGTGCGGACAGGGCTATGAGCAATTTAATGTTAGAGAGGGCACGCTTAAACTTACTACCGCAATCCATGTTAGGAGAAAACCAGATAGGTACCGACCATTCATTCGTTGCGTAAAACGCATCGGAGTCGTACTTCGCCGCTAGAATGAGGGGGGGGGGTTGTATCGCTGCTAGGGAACTTTCTGATTCTTGGTCTTTCCCACTTTAATTCGCTACTTACCTTCTTCCCCTAATTGGTGGTTAAGCTGCTGGTTCTAATGGCTGATTGGAGCTGCCTGCTCCCCCACCCTTCTCCCCGCTCCCTGTTTATGCCAAGACTTTGAGTACAGTTAGATAGATGGTAGGGAGCATAGGACAGGGGTCGTAGCACAAGAGCGACATTGGGGCGGGTCCTATTTTGCAGAAATTTGCACAACGTGATGTGATCTGTTTAGGCTAATCCTGTGATCCACTTACCTCTCAGCGTTTTTGTGCTATCGGAAGTGTACCATATGAAGGGCTCCTTTCAATGCAGTAGGCTTCCAGCTCGAACTGTTGACTTTTTTTCTCCTCACTGTCGATTAATTTTTATCAAAAAACCCTCTTAGGCTGCGTTTATACTTTGCGGCAGCGTAGCGTAGCGTAGCGTAGCGTAGCGCAGCGTAGCGTAGCGCTTCCAGCGTACGCCAGCGGCAGTGCCGAAGAGAGGATGCATATCGATCTAGCTTCACCAGCGTCACCAGCGGCACGCTAGCGTACGCTAGCGGCACGCTAGCGTACGCCAGCGTTTCCAGCGTTTCACCAGCGTTTTGCTAGCGTTTGCAGCGGCAGGGGAGTAGAGACTATGTGGCAGGCAGAGACGCGGAATCGACGCGTATTGTAGAGACTATGGGGCCGTCGAAGACGCAGAAGCGATGTGCATTGTAGAGACTATGGGGCCGCGAAGACGCAGAAGCGATGTGCATTGTAGAGACTAAGGGGCCGTCGAGACGCAGAAGCGATGTGCATTGTAGAGACTAAGGGCGAGTGAGAGACGCGCAATCGATGTGTTTTGTACCCTCCAGCTCTCCCATAGTCTGCTACTCCCTGGGCCGCTGCAAACGCTAGCAAAACGCTGGTGAAACGCTGGAGAAACGCTGGCGTACGCTAGCGTGCCGCTAGCGTACGCCAGCGTGCCGCTGGTGACGCTGGTGAAGCTAGATCGATATGCATCCTCTCTTCGGCACTGCCGCTGGCGTACGCTGGAAGCGCTCTACGCGCTAACCGCTGCCGCTACCGCTACGTACGCTAACGCTACGCTGCGCGGCAAAGTATAAACGCTAGCCATAATGTGATTATGAGTAATTTCTGATGAGCAGTGGTCTCTCAGTGAGGCGTTATCTTCTCGAACTTTAACGAGTTTCTACAAGTGGCTAACTACAGGCAATAAAACCACGAGGAACAAGTTGACGTGCGCTATTTTTCGGCTTATGAATCACGTTCAGATTTTCAGAAATTGTAAAGCTTCACCAGGGTGAGTTACAGGAGTAACACAGCCACATCTAACCACACGACAAATGAACAAGTAAATAAGTACGCAAACAGATCCAGGTTGGAGAAAATCGCTAGTGCACGTAGTACTTCAATGACGCTTTGAAGACAAATTTAAAAAAACATTTTTTCTTGTGACTGTTATTAGAAATTTAGCAAACTGAGAAAAAAAAACAAAGGAAAAAAACATATGGGGGTTTTCAAAATGATGCGGTGACAGCGGCGCCACGTCCGATTGACATGGTTCATTGAGACGGAAACCGCTCACGCCAAGCTAACCTGCCCTATTTTCAAAGTGGATTACTTGGTAGCAAAATTTTTAGGCGCAGTTCGGCTTGGTGGGACAATTTGCTGGTTCCCTTTCGAGTCACCGGGTCACCCGCGATGCCCTCCGGTGGACTTGAGTCGTCCTATATAAGCTATGTTAATAGGCAAGACATTTAATTATACTTAAGCAAGGGCCTTCAGATCTCTGTAGGCGTCAAAAAGAGCCAGAGAAGTTATCCGGTTAAGGTGCCAGATGTTCCTCAAGCCAGACATTGTCCTTTCTTCGTTTATTTGTTTGACAACTTGCAAGGACATGCCCTGGAACAAGGTGGAATTTGACGTGGCTAGAAATCTATTTAAAATAAGCCTCTGTAAAAAATTGAAGACCTGGCGCCAAGTATGAGTTCAAACTCGCGCTCTCAGTCGCTGATCAGCATGCGGGGGGGGAAGGAGAGCCCCTAGCTTCTCTTTCCATTGCGCCTCCAATTTCCAGCTGATTTTAGTAATTGTGGCTTCCATTAAGCAAGCGGCAGTGCTAGACGAACCCCTTCTATGATCCAAGTACCGCCCCCCCCCCCGGCATCAACATAGGTTTCGAATGGCTATAGTGGTACGGCGTTCTATGAACCATGCGATGGGAGGCGGTATTCGTTACGCCAAACACAATCTGCAATTCAACTGACTGAAGGCTACCATGAGGCACCCCTATTCCCACACTTCACCTCTACCAAGAAGTCTTCCTTTCCTTCTGAACTTATCGGATCGTTAGACAGAAGGGCAGGACTCAAAGGAGTACCAATCGGTCGCAAGAACCATTCAACCGAAAGTGGGGGCGGGAGCGCTCACTTCTTGGCACGAGACGACCGTTACTAAACGCGATAAGATCGGAAGCGCTGAACAGTTTTATAAAAACGTCAGAGTTGAAGTTGCAGACGGTGAAGCGATAGCGATCGAAAGTTTTTCACACGGACCTCTTCACCGCATTACAGTTCGTCTATCATTCGACGATGCCAAGGTCATCTCCTCTGCCAAGCTCCACCCTTACTATTTTACTTCCTACTATCCTATCAGAGTTACAATATAAGGTAAGTGAAGTTATTTTGTGACAAGCAAATCAAATGGGCTAATTTCAGTTCTGAGCCAGTCCTAGCAGCTACTGTACAGCTTCGCGCGTTCGATGCCAAAACCTTTACAGTGTCAAACGCATGGATGTATGTGGTGCTGTTCAGGATCTTGAGGTGCGACATTTCGCAGCTCGTAAAGGTGCTCGTAGCTAGTTGAACCCCACGCATTACATGCACTTAATACTCAATAGTGTTCTGCTTGCGTGAATGCGGCGCCACGTCATACCAAACCTCGTTCGCGTGTGACTGTTTGGCATGTCCAGGGCGGCTGCGCGGCGCGGCGCCGGCTCTTTTTCCACCAACTGTTGTCGCTTTCTGGCTTCAATCGAGACCAAAAAGACCATGAGTGGAGGATCTAACTACGTCCAGAATGGCGCTGTTTGTCGACGGGGGGGGGGGGCATTTTGTACTATCATTGCTTCCTCAGTTCCGGTTTACATGTCTCACTCTGGCGAAACCTGTGAACTCTTGTGAAGCTGGAACAAGGTCGTCAAGCCATCATGTTAAAACCTGTCAACTCGAGAAGAGGCTGTCTAGATAGGTCGACACGTCGATGGGAAGTAGCAAAAGTGCAAAATGCCCCCCCCCCCCCGTCGACAAACTGCGCCGTCCAGAATTCCTGCTTGAAGCTCATAGGTCGAAATGATCATTCATTAAAACATGGCCAATTTCAACTCAGCGCAGATCAGCCGGGAGCTATGAACTGGCGCCAACTGTTAGAGATGCAGAAAGAAATTATTAGTTGCAAATCGACTATGTAGGCTTCAACGACTAAGTCTATGTGGCTTTCTCGGGAACCATAGCGCTGGCTGAGACACTTCAACCAATCTATTCCTCCTTTATTACTCTACCGTACACCTCTACCTTTACCATCGCGCCGTCGCTCTATA